ATGGAACTCTGTCAAGAATTGGATCCATCTTTCCTAAGAATGACAAACCTCCATCAGTTAGCAGTGGAAGAGGAGGAGGAGGGAGGGACAGAAAGAAGAGGAGAAAGGTTGTTGTTCTTTCCATGTCTTTTGTCTACTGATAGACCTGATGAGATGACTAGTGAAGTGTACCGGTTTGGTTGGTGTCTACAGTGTACTAGTAAACATCATTTCTTTCCACCTCGATGCTTCCACGTCCTCTCATTACATCTTGCTTTTAAGTTTTCGTTATCAAAGGGGAACAAGGAATTAGCTGAAAAATTGAGTCGTAAATGCAAATTTTGGAGTAACGGTCTTCACTGGTTTAATGGTCATGGTGTAGGATCACTGATAGAGATTGTGGATGAGAGCCAGTGTGTACTAGTAATGATGTCCTGTGAGAAAGGTTACAGTGACAATATGGTGTCGCTAAGAAGAGATGTGATAGGAGAGGTAATGAGTGTTTATAAAGAATCCTGTCCCAGTATAGAGGTAAAAGAGTTAGTTATTGATCCTAAAGAACTAGCCTACCCTGTGAATACACCAAGAGAAAGGACAGTTTATGAAGTTTGTGATATACTATCAGCAATTAAGGAAGGAAGACCATTTCTTGTGAGCAATAAAGGACAAACAAGATTGAAGGAGATCCTACCTGATGAATCATTATCAGATATTACTAACCTGTCACTATTAGGAGGACGTGATATTAAGGTAAGAATTAACACACACAAACTGTTTGATACATTAATACAAGCACTAATAATCAAAAGATCTTATCTTTAAAAAGCAACTTTTTTTATCAAAATTTTTCAGTCTTTGTCACAATTGTTAATTGTCATTGTGTGGCTTTTACTACTAATAATATATACTTGTACATCTGTTAAACTCACCTTTCAGCAATACACTACTGATGTATATCACCTTGATAAACAAGCACAGTGACAAATATCAGTTATTATTCTTGTATAGGAAGTGATTGAAATAACTGAAGAAAAGACACCATTGACTCCAATAAAGCTAGGTGTGCTATAACATGTGCTATCACAATTGTGAAGTAGTGGGAGTGTATGGTATATACATGTACATTATAGTGACTGTGGGTTTAGTAATGTTTGTATTATATTTATACTTTTATATAGAGACGACAATTCAAAACGACAAACCAGCTACTAATTACTCACCCACACAGATCAGTGAGTACAATGATGATCAACAAAAAGGTGTAACCACTCACTGTCACTAGTTTTACAATATTCATTCATTTATTTATTTATAGCTATACTGACTATTAGAGATCTGATAGATATTGTACGAGTGTTAAAAGATGGTTCCTTTCAAACTATCAAATGGTTTGATCTTGGTCTCTACTTGGGTCTGATTTATAATGATCTCAAGGTTATTGAGACTAACTATCCACGAGATGCTGAGCGATGTCTTAGAGAATGTTTAGCAAAATGGCTTACAGATGATATTGAAGCAACATGGAACAAACTAGCTATTGCTGTTGGTGAAGTAGGAGAGACATCAGTTGCTGATTATATACATGATGTAAATGAGATTATATTTAATCAATAATAAATTGATTACTAATTTTTATTATAGAATAAACTGTCACTATTAGGAGGAAAGGTAACAGTTATGAGAAACATTCCTTATCATCATTATTTTACTACATTGTTTGTGTAGGGAGATGGAGGAGGAAAGTGTAACAATAATAAAGATAAAGGAACAACAACCAACACTTTGAATGAATCTCGGGAACATGGAAGTACTTCAATAGAGAAAGGACAGTCTGGTAAGATATGTACACATCATGCATTAACAAACATTATTATAATTATTGTACATTGAACTGTTATACAAAAATGTGTATTTTTTATTGTTATTTAATATAACATGTGTACACATGTAGATACTGTTGCTCTTAAGATCAATGCTGAAGTACAAAAAACACAGACTGATGATAAACTGCTTGGTAAGACTAATAATTTTCAATTAGGAGGAGTGTAGACTGTACAGTGTATATACACATTATTAATTATTGTTTTTATAGATATTAAAGATCTTGCTGATGTCATTAAAGTATTAACATCAGATCAACACTTGCCTTGTTCTGTATGGCACAGACTAGGTCTACATTTAGGATTATATGATCCCAAACTAGTGGATATAGACAAGAAGAATAGAGGAGATCCAGTGGAATGTTTTTGTGAGTGTATGTCTGCCTGGTTAAGAGGAGAAGATAAAGTGAGAGAGAAAGGAGGTCCCAGTTGGTCATCATTAGCTACAGCACTGGATACAATAGAAGAGAAATCTATTGCTAGTTACATTAGAAATAAATATCATTGTATTTAATTATAAAAAGGTTTGATACTGAAAAAAAGGATTATTGTTATTTCTTCTCTCGTTGTGCTTTATTTTTAGTTTTTATTATTATTATTATTTAAGTTGTTTTTGCAGTGACTTGTGTTGTTGCCTTCCCCAGTGCTACTTGTCTTGCATTCATTCCAAACTCCAGTGTACTGATAGTCTCTGATACATTAGTATCCAATGGACTCACATTAACAAACAATAGATAGTAGACGGGAAGGATGGATTGGAAACGTCTAATAGAAACGCCTAGATTTTGTTATTAATGCGCGCTTCTCCAAAATGGTGGACTGAACTTATGACTGCCGTTCTTATCAGTTTTAGTTAACTGCTATATAAATCAGTGTTAACTTGGTTCATCTTAAGCTTATAGTTGATAATACCACTTCCAAATCCAAACTGCTTTAGTAAGCATTTAGTCAGCTAAAAATGTCTGCCAAGACTTGTGATAACTTTTGTACTTTTTTCTATTGAATGACTGACATATTTACCTATTGATTGCCTACAGTAATGAAGCACTATGGTGCAATGGACTCGCTTGCTGGAATTCACCTGAGTGATATGTATTACTTGTACTGTGATATTTTAAGCAATTTGAAAAAATTATTATTGACTGCATAATAGAGGATATGCGTGCTAAGTATATTCACTGCAAAATAAATGTATTCATTGCATACCGTAATAACTTTCAAGAAAAAAAATTAGTTCGTTGGACGTCAACTTTCCATTGGCAATTTGGCATTTGGCACGATCGATTTGGCAGCAATGGAGAAAAGATAGAAAAAGGCTTGGTACCAGGAAACCGCTCTGTATTTCTTGACAGCAATCTTTCAAGTGACTACTAGACCCCATTAGATCCTCAGGATGCTTTCTAAGCTTCCGAAAAAGGCCTCAAGAAGGTAGCAAGGCAAGAAAATATATTTCCCCCCATTGAACTCTTAATAAACTTGACGTCCAACATGGCGGCCAATTTACTGTGTGGGTTGGATATACGGTACTAAAAAGCTATGAATATACTTAGCACGCATATCCTCTTGACCACCCATGCACCTATCACTTATCATGTCCATGCAATAAATGTTCCCACTCCCCCAAAACTCCTAATTTTTCCTCATTCTAATATTATGTTCTGTTTTAATTTAATTTTTAATGTAATGTAATTTAATTAATTTAGGCTCTCTGATTTGGTCATTGAGTCCTTCAGAGACACCATTACCAACTTTTGCTTTTTATTTGTTAACTTTGTCTTTGTCTTTGTAAAGTTGATATTATTATTATTATTACAAATCAATTAAACTGTGTGGACAGAATGACAATCCAACTGCTTAGTACCCGCCTATGCAAGTGTGGCGAGTCCAACAAAATACATACCAGTATCATTATAATTATAGACTATGGAAGAAATAATGAGATTCATGGATGATCCCAATTCATCACTCATAATGGCTCAGTTAGTGTATACTATAAATATGCAATGTACAATATATCAACACATAGTACAATACAATGTACAATGTATATAGTACATTGTACAGTTAGTGTACTGTATGTGGAGAAGAATTTGCATCATGAGTAGGATTTTCATTTCATATTTTCGTTGGTCGTTCGAAATCCTACTTAACCTTATTTTTTTAAATTTTTTATGTTTAGCCCATGGTTTTTTCCAAAAAATGGCTCTGAAACCAACCCAAATTTTTATTAAATTTTCTAATACATATTGATGTCCTTATGCTGTGTAGCAAGTTTGAGCTGATTCTGAGTGAAACTTTCTGTGTTACAGCCATTTAAAAAAATCTCACAATACCCATGTACATGTACATACCAGGGACGTAGAAGGAAGGAAGGAATTGGTCAGGCTATAGGCAGGACATGTAGTTGCCAGGCCCATTAAATCATAATTAAATCAGAGGTGTGCCTTTATTATAATGAATAATGATTAAACAGAGCAAAAGTTGGTCAGGCCCAAACCTGACCTGCCGGACTGGGTTTTACGCCTATGCATACACATATGTGATTAATGATTAATGTTGATTAATGATTGCTACATTAAGCAACATTAAGACTACATTGGACCAAGAAAAACTGGAATAACTTTTATAGGAATGTGGGATAAAGATTAGACTTTCACAGGTTCTTAGTAGCCCAATGCCGCTTCAGGATCTCAGGTCTTGGGTCTCTCAGCCCTTGGAAACCCTGAGAACCGAGCTCTCCCTATAAACCCAATGGCATACCAAAGCTTAGACTATTATGAATGGGTGTATAAGCACATGCAGTCGAGCGTATGGCACGCCGTTTGTAACAAAATTCCCAAGTTTATGATGTCACATTGTAAGCTTAGAATGTCACATCCTAACAGGGGCGGATCTAGGATTTAATTTTTGGGGGGGGCAATTGTGAGATGGGAGGGGTAATTAGGGGGTGTGGTCAACTAAGCTTGTGCAAAACTTTTGGGAAAGTAAAAATTATGAAGACTAAGCCTGCTAAAATGAGACCCTTTGTGGTTTAAAGAGAGTTTACATAGTAGTCCAGTGCTGCAGCTGCTTCACAGTTTACACAGGTAAACCAAAGTTTATATTACTCCAGAAAATTTTTGGGG